AATGTGGCTTTAATCAGATGAAAAGTCCATTTAGGAGGATTTCTGAAAACAACATGTGCAACGGTAAACACTGTTGATAATACATAAGAACACTGTAAGAGTTCACACCTCAACAAATTAAACAACTAGGTCTAGTTGTTTAATTCACTTTAATGCAGAAATGTTACATATTTCACCTTTAAGTTGTGGTAGAAGTGATAACTGAAATAATTGTGGCAGGAACTGAAAACAATATATGAAAACATGAAACAAACAGTTTCAGAAATGAGCTGTACACATCAATTTCCCACTGCATTTCATTTAGTTTATATTAGGTGGCTTTTCTATGAGGACGAGTTAAACTCCTGCAGTGCTCCACAGCTGAGATAAGCACACAGAAGAACACCTTGCATCCCAAAGCAAGAATCACATCATGTTGAGAGGAAATGAAACAGACCTGCTGTCCATCTCCGGTGGTACAGAGCAGAAGGTGAAATTAATTTAGATGGATAAACATGCTGACATATCAGAAATTAAATGTAATAAGCCCTAATGAATGTCTGATTTTCCACCTGTCTCTCTTTAAGTTTTGCCGGACGACACAAAAAGCCCCCTATTGTTTTATGACTTCACTGAAAAACTAATCTCAAAGTAACTTTACTGCCAGTACAGCAATGTCACCTTGTGCTAGTTAGTGTGTCTTTGTTTGACCTGAATTTTGAATGCTTTGTGATCATTTAAAGTTTCATCACATTTTTGGAATATCCGGAAAAAAAAAGAAACCGAACAAAAGCACAAAAGAAAATGATATTTCGTACAACGAAGGCAAGTTTTTAACAATAATTGGTTGGGAAGAATTTAGCAACATGGCAGCCATTACACTGTACTGTACACACATAAAGTATATTTCCATTAAAGCTGTCCCAATGTTTTTTAGCCGTATCATATTCTAGTTATATTTTCCAAGCATTATTTCTCATGCAACAATGTCCATCATTTGTTCCCTCTCCATTTGTATTTAATGGGAATGAGTCTCTTTCAAATGTCTCAGAATTAACCCAGGGCACAGGTTATTAAAAGTGTTAATACACTAAATGCAAATGTACTGCTTCACTACAGTATTGTCTCCGAGGAAACATAGCGTTGTTGATCTGGACAATTCACATTGTAACTCTTCACCCATTCATTACAGAACCTTTATCCACAAGGGAGACACTATTGGACTTATGTGTGCATGCATACGCCCCACTCTGCTTTACATTTCCAACATAAACTAACTTTAATTAGGCACATTTTATAGTCTTGTAGAGGGATGATAACATCTATGGAATCATGTAATGAATACATTGCCTATACTGTAGCTTCTCTGATTTATCCCCATTGTCTGATGTCCCATGTTTCCTCATCAATTGTACAACCCAAGTCTTATTCAATGCTATCCAAAGATGTTTACATTTGTAATGTACTCAAGGACATATATCATACCACTGTGATACTTTATTGACAATACTGATAGTTGTAGGTACAAGCCTATTTATTTTTCTCTTGATTATTGTAACCTTTCATTTAAGTATCCACTTTGAAAATATTTCCAAAGATGGCCGTGTCCCTCCAGATTGGAATTCCCTCTTAATCTGTTTAACGAAATAAAAGAAGCCTTCTTCATTCAGTTTAGTCAAATGAAACCTTTTTTTAAACCACTGAGCCCGATAAACTGTATATCTATTTTTATGTTGGTGTTGTAACATATTGATGCATACTTTTTGTTGTGGAAATATTTTCCAAGGCCCATAACTTTGACCCAGTTTATCAGTTCAAACTGTCCTGACTGAGCACACGCACCTCGTAACCTTGGCTGCTGTGCTCTCAGTGTTCTGTCTCCCTGTTCCTGCCTGTTGGCGTCAGCTGATAGAGGTGTTATGCAGCAGTTTGATGATGCTCTCAGAACTAGTTAAATACATGGGTCTGAGGTAGAGTTCTTTAGAATTGACGTGGCAACTCTACCGTGAAGTCAGAACCTCTGGCTCTTGGACTTGTGATGTGAATTCTCCGGCCGTAACTCCAAATAAACCATCAGTGTTTGACATCAAAGCTACTGCTCCTACCGTGTCTCCTTCCTGAGTCGGTGACTCCCACTGCATAGCTACACAGAAGTTTCCTCTACACTTTTGATTATAATGATGTTCTGATGTACTTGAACATGTGCTCGGGTGGGATTCATTCGTCATGTTTTTCAAAACGTTTCTATTATTTATCTTTCCAATTATCCTGTTTAAAATGTCCAAAAGTTATTTCCTGAGTGTCTGTCCTGAACATATTCTTTGTACATTTGCACCAGTGTTGCAGCTATGTTTTGTTTTTGGAGTATTCAAGTTATGGGTTGTGCATGTAAACATTACATCCTGGTTTTAGAATGGCCAGAAAATGCTTTTGAAAAAACGTTGCAGTCTCCCTTTAAAGACTGCATTATTTTTATACACCTCTCATTATCCTGCAGTAGTTTTCTACATTTCTTTGTTGACTCAATATGCCTGATTTTACTGAAAAAGCTTTAATGGCCTATTATACTTAATGGAGCCAGTGGTATTTCCTTTACTCCCTTCACTTGTTTTTATGTTAATGTCTGCACTTTATTTTGAGAATCCTAAACTGATCCTATAAACTCAAAATCCTGGCTTTTTGGACTATTTGTGTCTCTTTTGTTGCATTGTAAAATTAGGTAACCCTTTCAGTTTCAACGATTCCTCCAGCTCAGTGACATAGTTTCAGAATCTGCCCTGAGACTGGGACAATTTATGATATTGAATCCCTTTTTCTTCATGTTGAGTCCAGTCCCAATCGAGAATCTGCATCATAAAAACTGCCTCAATTGAAAAACCCTTTCAGACGAGTGTCTTATCTGAGCTCGTATAAAAAGTTCAGCTCTCAGCCAAAAGTCATAAGTCATAGGAATTTCAAGAGAATGTTTGAGGAAAGGAAAATTAATTTACTTAAGCAAATGAGTTCGAGTGATTGAAGAGTTTGGAGGGAAAGATTTGTGTTTAGGCTCATTGTGTTGAGCACCATGAGTTTCTTTAATGGTTTCTACATTGCACACATTTAGAGAGCATTCCCTAGAAAATCAACAAATCAATGTGCTGTACATTTGTTAAATGGCATTTTGGTGTTATTTTAATAATTTGTTGGTTATGTTGTTTTCATATCTGGGTGCCAGTCCCATTAAAAGCTTTTCATTTTGCTAGTACACGGCAACTTTAAAATAAAAGTATCTCTTGGACCAAGCATCTTACTACTGCTGCTGCTGCTTCTGCTCCTGTGCATTTTCCTTTTGAAATTATTTTTAGATGGAGTCATTACAGATTAATACAATACAAAATGAGGGCAGACCCAATTTATAACACAAAACCACTGCACTACTTTAGTTAAATGCTCTCTCAGATCAGTGAAGGATGTATAAGGATTTGATCTTACCATGTATGAGGTTTCATTCTGCTTGTAAACATCAGAGCTTATTGACCAGACCCTTTGTCGCCTTACATCCCAATAAAGCTGTATTATCAAGAGTCCAGACCTGCTCCTCCAGACCTGCAGTGCATTAAAGACATCATTGATTCCCTGCTCAGGACGTACTGCAGAGCAGAATAACTGAGAAACAAGTGTCAGACCTCATAACCTCCCTCATAAAGGCTCCATTAGCTCCTGCACTACTGAAAGAAACATCACTAAACTGACACCTCCACTGTGTGTGTGACCGGACGTCTGATCAGTGTGTATGTGAATGCTGGTTCAACAAATAAAACATAAGAAAATAAAATGCTTCTAAAGAAAAATCCCATTATAATATAATGTAGAAAAGTCACATTAGATTGGAAGCGATTTCCATGTACTGAAGGTCGTTTAATTTCCATCATGAAAACAGCAGGTTTTAATTTTCCTCAGCCACAGCAGGATTTTACTGCCAAGAGAGAGGAGGAGTATCTGTCAGAGACACTCCCTCCTGTCCCTAATAAGTGATTTGATTCATCAAAGTGGTGAGTCAGCAGGTCAAATTAAGCGGAGAAGATGCACATTGTTATCAAGCCTGTGTTAGTTTTGAGTGCAGAGGTGATTCCACACAGAAGAGGTCTCTTGCTCTTCTCAGTCTGGGGTGGACGTTCAGAAAAATAGCTGAATACTGTATAAAAGAAGCTGCTACAGCCACAACACATAGGCCTACTGTTTAAGGCAGTTTCGCTGTCTTAATGCACTGAGGTTACATTGAGTTACACATGAGGTTACAACTGAAACACTGAGTAGTTATTAGATCATGTTCTTCTGTTATTGATTCCCTCTGCATTGCAGTGCTCTTTTAAAAGATAGTCACCACCAACATGGCAATACATCACTGCAGGAGACCTTGCAGATGCCACTTTCATTCTGCATTTACATTCTCTTCTCCAGATTAAGACAGTGTGTTCAATTGATATTATTATTGAGGTCTATTTTAGTGATCTAATTATTTGTGTCTGTCTGTGCTGTTTATTCTGTGGTACTGTGGCCTGCATGGCTGTATTCATTTGCTATACAAATAAAGCCGAGTAGAGACGTTTGAAACTCACCAGCCCAACAGGTACTGGGACCTGGTGGTCCAGCATCAGGGAGCAGTGAAGAGGTTCAGCTCTGGTGACTGATGGCTTCAGCAGGACGCTACAATCCTCTAACGCATTTCACGTAAAGAAAACATCTCTAAAATCTAAACCCACTCACAACCGGTTGCCTTTACCCAGCTGCCATGACTTCATACAGTTTTGAGAAATAAGACACAATGCAAGTATTCTTTACCCGTTTAAAAAAATAAGTATTTTATCCAAACACTAAATATAATCATTTAATACAAAAATAAAATTGTAAATTGCCTTAAAAATAATCCAAACACATTTATCCATAAATGATTTCAGTCCGTTCTAAACTCAAAACGTTTTTTCCAGTTGTGAAAATGTGCTGCTTTTGTTCCTCATGCTAATACACTGAATGTTATAAGGTTTTAGATAGACATAACAACTGTTTATTTAATGGGAGAAATTATCAGCAGATTGATGTTCATTAAAATAACAGCAGCTGTAGATGAATGTCCTTTCACAGTTCAGATATATCACAGCTGTACAGTTCGGCCACTTGCAGATATTTTCTCCACATGAAAGTGTACAGTACCATCTGGTGGATATTTTCATACTGCACAATCCTCTCTAGACTTTCAAATATCTTAAATATTTAAACCAGGAGTAACCTTTTCATGTTATGCTTTCTCACCATTACAATAGATCCTCAGAAGGCGAAGCTTTATAAGATTTTAAACTGTATAAACTGAATTAAATTAATTGTCAGAAAAAAACCAGTTACAGTATTCCTTGTGTTTATTACATGCTGAAACTGCAAAGATCTGAGGCAATGTGTTTATTGTTTCTAAAATGTTGTTAAAAAAAATTAGACAGCAGTATTTACACTCTAAATCCAAACTACACAGCAAGTAGAATCATTTAGATATCAGGTAATGCTCCTGTAGAAGGACAGCATTTCATCCATACTCTGCTCAGGCTGCTCAGGCTGAGACTGGCTCTGCTGCTGAGGAGGAACCTGAGGAGGAACCTGAGGAGGAACCTGAGGAGGAACCTGAGGAGGAACCTGAGGAGGAACCTGGGGAGGAACCTGAGGAGGAACCTGAGGAGGAACCTGGGAAGGAACCTGGGAAGGAACCTGGGAAGGAAACTGAGGAGCATATTGGGGAGCATAATGTGTTGGATATTGTGGAGGATATTGTGGAGGATATTGTGGAGGATATTGTGGAGGATATTGTGGAGGATATTGGGACGGATATTGGTTGTAATACTGGTTTGGGTACTGGGGGGGATACATGTGAGGCGGTCCAGCAAACTGAGGAGGAGGTGGACGAGGAAACTGAGGATAATGAGGGGGAAACTGGGGATTAAAGGGAGGAGCAGACACCGGAGCGGGCTCTGCTGGAGGACCTGAAGGTGAAGCCTGTGATGGAGTCTGTGGCTGTGGAGGAGGTGGGGGAGGTGGTTGAGGGGCAGGAGGTGAGGGGGCAGTTTTTGGCGGAGGAAGTGGCTTCTCTTTGCTCTCAAAGACCTCTTCTGGGCCTTTGCTCCACTTGAAGGACATCTTGGATTTACTCTCCTGAGTTTTAACCTTCACCGATCGCTCTCTCTTCCACTCAGAAAAGTACGCAGTGGGAGGGGCGAATTCTGACTCTCGCTCATCGCGACGCCGAGATGTCCACTCGTTAAACATGGACTCTGGAGGAAACAAGAAAAAGGAGGAGTTAAAGAAGTTACTTACTTCACAAAGTAATGAAACTTTACTGAAATCCCTTAATGCCGACGATAGCATACGTTGTTTATAAAAGTTTGAATTTGTGTTCCACCCATGGCACATGTCAGTATAGATATATACCCACAGCTGCATAACATAGGACTACAAAAAGAGTGAGATCAGTATCTCCAACTATATGACCTTTAACTTAATATTCCACTTGCAGATGTATGCATGTGCAGGGAAGCACCTAAATTTACCGAAAGAATGATGCAGGACACCAAAACAGTACTGGAAAGGGATCTTAACAAGATGGGAAAACGAATGATCTTGTTTGTAACATGAAGTAGGTTTCTTCTAATATAATGCAATGCATATTATTCTTTAAATAATTGTCATTGTTAAATACAAATGTTGTCAGCTTTCCAAAGTCATTGCTAAAAAGGTAAGAGGTTTCCAAACTCTCTGAAGAACTATCTGTTCAGAACACTTAAGTGCAATGTGAAATAATAAGTGTCCTTCTGAACTTAGAAATCTGGGATGTCAAACCCTTTCCCTTTCTTCTTAACTGTGCTCATTGGACTTTGGGTTTAGCAGTCGGTTTAGCCTTTGAAGCCGCTGAATGAAATGTAACCATCATTTATTTTTTGTTCTTGCATCAGTGATTTGCCATTGTTTAAAAAAGGAAGTACAAGTCCTACTTTTGCTTGGCACTCACATGTTTTCCCGACAAACCTTAATCGTGGTCCTAAATATTTTCTCACTAGAGACCTTTTAGACAAAATTAGACATACCTTTGCCTCTGTCCCATTCCCTGACATGAGGAACTCCTGGTTTGGAGTCCTTCCTTTCCTGGATCTCAACTTCCACCTTCCTCGCTCTGCTGACCTCTGGTACCTCCTCTGGTGGAGCCGGGGGACCTATCAAGTCGCCTTCGTCGTCCCCTCCTAGGACAAACAATTCACAACAATCCCTCATTAGCGTTCATGTGATCTTTGAACTGCAGCATGCATGTAGACTTTATACACAAACGGCTGCATTTGATGTGAGGGAGTTGAGGATACACACCTTCATTGTCCTCGTCCTCCGTGCCATCCAGCTTGGCCTTCTTCGTCTTCCTAGTCCTCACTTTAGCCAATCGAGCCTTCAGGATGGCCTGCCTCTTGTCCTTCAGCTGTTCCCTCTTAGTGCGCTGCTCGGTTGTCTGAAGGACAAGAACAAAGACTGAGCAAACACTCAAGACAGCATTATTCATTTTTTTAAATAAATATAGATTTGATTAACTAGATACAACAATATAACATAGACTTAAAGTGTATAGTCGGCTGAGCAAAAGTGGGTAAACTACAAATACATAATAAAGTCCATCAAAGTGTGGATTTGTGTGCATCTACATACATGCAAGAGTATGCTTTTAGTGTGGGGGACTATGTTATCCATAGAACTTTTAAAATGCCCTCTCCTAATATATATTTATATTTTAACAGGCTAGATATGTGTTCTCACCTGGTCTCTGAGCATGTCCAGAGTTTCTCTCTGCTTCCTGCGCTGCTCGGCATCATGAGCGAACGCAAAGTAACCCACACCGAGATCCCGAGCCTCTGTGAGACAGAACAGACAGAAATATGTGTGTTGAACAGCACAAGATTTACAGAACACATACCTGTATTTCAAATGTGTGCTGGAAACATTTAAGAGATGCGTTCAAAGTAACCTTGTCCTCTGATATCCTCGTAGTGGATGGGTCCGACAGGCTTCTTCATGGCCTCCTCTTCCTCCATCTCCCACTCCTGCCTCTGCAGCTCTCGGCGCATGTCCTCCGAGAGTAAGGTCTTATCAGCAGAGGCTTTTCTACATGGAAGAGTGGTATCAATAAAGTTCCCGTCATCAAGGAACCAACTCCTGCACATTTTAAAGGTTTTATCTGTAGGATATTTACGCTTTTCCGTAAAGGTTTTGGTCCAATTTCTCAAACCCAGGCAGGTCTTTCTTCATGCATCTCCGAGATCGGCCCAAAGCATCCTCATAATCCACCCTACAGATTAACAAAGCAGCAGAACAGATTACTAACAGGATATTAAAAAAAAATGTATATATACATTTAAATAATAAGTGAAGCATCCTATTGCTATTATAGGTATCACTTTAATGGTACTGGAATTGGTATGAATATCATACTTCTTTCTGACAGCCCTATAGTATTTAACATATGTGCTTTGAAACAAAAATACTAACTGCACTTTACATTTCCTAAATCAAACCCTTACAAATATATGAAAGAGACATTACCATTCCTCATTTGGGTTTTCAGGAGGAGGGACAGGAGACCTATTTCCTCTTTCCTCATCCTCTCTTTCGCTTTTCTGTGCTAGCGTTTCTCTCTTTTTGTCAATAATCTTCTGGGTGAAATCCACCAGGAACAGTCCTTCTGTCTCTTCATCTGGGGAATACAAGACAAGTTTATTATAAAGTACATTTTGATATGGAACTAAATTATTAGAAGATATCATTTTTACTCAACCAACCTGGAAAGTCTCCTTTTGTCATTTGCTCGTAGAGTTTGGCCTTCTCCTCTAGCTTGCGTCTGTTATTAGAAGATAGAGGTTTTTGTCATCATTTTATCATGACAGTGAATCTACAATATTATATGTTGAACTCACTTTGAGGTATCCAGACTGCTCTGCTCCTCAGACAGCTGCTCCGCATCTTTCTCAGCTCTTGCTGAGACTCCAGTGTTTTGTTTGATCCAGACATTAGGTTTCTACTCAAGAGCATGAAGACGAAACATCGTTAGTGATCTCACTAACATTTAATGATTATCTTCTTCATCGGTAATGGATCAAATGTCATAAAATAGTGCAAATGTCCATCCTAGTTTTCTCAATATCTCGGGTTTTTTCAGTACATAACCGGGAGATATTCAGTTAATATGATATACAAGAAGAAGGAGAATATATCTGAGAAGCAGAACATGTTATAAGCTTTTCTGACATTTATGCAAGAAAACGTACTTTTACAAATTAAAAATAATGAGTCAACCAATCGTTGTAGCTCTAGATCTCTTTCATTAAACAAACAGGTAAAAATAGGCCCCAAAACAAATACCACATAATGTACCTTGACTTTGGCTCTTGATGTGAACCCAGCTCCTGTGTTTTCATGCCCAAGTTTGTCCTGTTTGAATTGTTCCTGCTTCCTGTACAGTTCAGCTTTAAGGTCCACCAGCTGTAAGAACACACGTGATGTCAGAAATAACGTTATACTTAAATCAATAGTTATTGTTTTGCTACTAACACAGCTGTAACTCTGTTTATGTGTTAGCAACATAGCCTGAGAGTTAGCTACCGTTAGCTGTTATATTTAACTAAACGCCACACAGCAGCGATAGTAGTTTGTAAAGCTGCTTCTGAATGCCACTCACAGATGAAGCCGTCACGTTGAAGGGTTTCTTCTTTTTATCCATGTTTATCACTTCTTTAATACTCCATGATGTGCGAGCTGCTGCTGCTGCTGAGCTGCTGACATGGATGAATAATAAGAAGGCGTGCTGACTTCTTCTTCTTCTTCTTCTCTCGTTTTTGGCGGATTGCAAACCACTTAAAATGTGCATACCGCCACCTACTGTACATGAGTATGAATCATCATATCATTCCAACTCTTTAACCTATGATATAATCAAAATAAATCAAAATAAATCAATAAATCAACAAAACCATGAAATAAATAAAACAAAAATACAAATATATGTTCTTTCCTGACCTAACCTAAAATTCTTTTTCCTACCCCATCCACTCAAGAATGTAAACAGTGCCTTTCTGGTAGCTCTTACTCCCTCTCCTTTTGTTCCCAAAACACCAACCACACTCCATTCCCTCTCTGCCTCTAAAACTTTAGCCTTTAATTTTTCTCTTTCCGCTTTATAGATGTCACAATGTAACAAGATATGTTCTACATCTTCTTTTACTCCGCAGTTCCCACACTTGTCCCTGTCACTTTTCCCCATGATAGCGTACCATTCAAAGTCGTGTGATTTATTCTGAGTCTAGCTATCGTGATTTCCTTCCTTCTGTTTCTTTCTTTATAAATAAATTGTAATTGTCTTTTGTACTTTGTGATGGTCTTTGCCTTTCTGGTCTTTCTCCCACCTTTTCTGCCAGATCTCCATCCATTTTTTCTTAATTACTGCTTTTCCTTCTCCTTTACCAAGTTGAACTGGTAATGTTATTTCCTTTTGTAGTGCACTTTTTGCTAATTTATCAGCACACTTGTTCCCTTTCACCCCCTCATGTGCAGGCACCCAGCAGAACTGCAGATCTATACCGCCTCTGTGCAGTCTTAACGATTCAGTTATATGAGAATGTCTTCTCTGGCAGTTGTTGTTGATTGTGTGCTTTGTAATATGGACAATGAATCTGTGCATATTACCACCCTATCTGGTCTGACCTCTTCAACCCACTGCAATCTTATTATTACAGCAAGCATTTCTGCTGTATACACTGATAATTGATCAGACGCTCTTTTTTCAACTCCAACACACTCTTCCTTGTTCTTAGAACCATCTGTGTAAATGTGTAGGTAATTGTAGTACTTTTCGTTCAGATACATACTTGTTTTAATTCCCACTTCATTTATTTGCCACTCATTTTTCCTTTCTACAATACTCATATCTATTTTAGCTTCTGGGAAAAGCCATAGAGGAACACTGCTAAATGGGGTTGCTTTGGCAAACCCCATTATTCTCCACTCCATATGCCCTCGTTCTTTCCTTACTTGTCCAGCCAAACCCACGTCCCTGAAATTTTGCATATTCCCAGCAATCCTGTAATATTCTGTTTGAAATATTTTCTTCTCCATTTCCTTAGTCTGACCCATGAAAGAGCAAGGTTCTCTCTTCTGATCTCCAGAGGTGTTTCTCCTGCTTCTATCAGAACTGCATTGATAGGGGATGACTTTATAGCTCCAATACACAGCCGCAATGCTTTATATTGTATTCTATAAATTTTTAAAAGTGATGTTTTTGCTACTGCTCCATATACAACCATAGTCTATTGTGGACCTCATAATTGATCTGTAAATGTCTATTAATGCTTGTTTGTCTGCGCCCCAGTTGCATCCAGCTACAGCTCGCAATACATTTAATACTTTTTTGTATTTTGTTTCACTTGATTAATATGCATTTCCCATGTATATTTGCTATCAAACCACAGTCCTAGGTATTTTAACTCATTCACCTTTGTCATTGGACGATCATATATTGTTAGCTGTTGGCCATCAATCTTGCGTTTGTTTGTAAATACCATGTAGCATGACTTGCTTTCTGACATTTTGAATCCCCAGTTATATGACCACCTCTCCACTTTTTAAATCGCTCTAGCTATATTCTCCATTACGTATGGGGCATTTCTTCCCCTCATCCAAATAGCCCCATCATCTGCGTATAGAACCGATTGGATGCATGTGTCTAATGTAAATATATCATTAATCATGATGTTGAATAACATTGGACTGACTGCACTCCCTTGGGGAATACCATTTTCTATTTCAAAATAATTGGAAATATCTGCTCCAACCTTTACTCTAAATGTCATGTCTGTTAAAAATTGTACATTCTCCCTCCAATACCCATTCTACTCAATTTGACCAGTAACCCATCGCTCCACATAGAGTCATACGCCTTTTCAATGCCAAAGTACACTATTGCCATTATCTCTTTCATTTTCAATGTTTTTACCATATCATTGCACTCTTACTAATGCATCTATTGTGGACCGCCCTTTACGAAATCTGCTCTGAAAACTACTCAGCAGCCCTTTCTGTTCCAGTACATGTGAGAGCCTACGGACAATGATCTTTTCCATCCACTAGACAGTCAGTGCAGTGCGTGTTTGCACAAAAATACATTGAATATATGGCTATATGCAAAACATGCAGAAGACAGTCTGTCAGTGTGTGGGTGCATATGTGTGCGCACGTCTGTCGGTCTGTTGGTCTGTCTGTCTGTCTGTCTGTCTCCCGATCTGTCTATCTGGCTGTCTGTCTTGCACTGTCAGCCATGAACCCCTATCTTATAAAGTACGAGTGTCTCTCTGTTTGATGTTACTGACACTGCTGAATTGATGCGGCCGTATTTCCCGTTTGCGTGGTCAAGTCAGCATCGAGCCGGGTTTTTTCTTCAAAACTATATTGAAATAGCTTGGAGGTTGAGGATTGATAAACACTGTTTAGAGTACTTTTACTGTGTACTCTGTCAAACTCCCCTTTTGAGTACAATAATGCATGTTTTCTGCTATCTTTGATGAGAGATAAAATGATGTTCTGCCATAAATTCTTAATGAGAGTGATACTGATATTAAGAGGATATGGTAGACATGATATCAGCACTACTTCCAGTCAGTACTCCAGCAGCAGCTTTTACCCCTTGAGAAATCTTCAGTGAATATCCTGGGTAGCTGGTATCCTTCAGCAAAGTGACACACCCTGTCACTCTTGTTGGCCTCTTATGATGATGCTGTCTTAACCTTTAACAGCCAGCGCCACCATTTGGTAGAGCACATTTTGTGTCTTGATATCTCGTTGAAAAATAAATTAGTGTAACTCCATCTGATTCAGCCAGCTCTATCGTTTGGTTGACATGTTATGCACAATACAACCTGTAGATGTCACTGTGGTTCGAACAGAATGCCCTTCAGCTAGCTTCCACTGAGAAAGATGGCATGCTAAAAATCACTCCTGAAGAAATCACTTTTTGGTCAACTTTTGTAAGGTAACCATATAATCTTTGACATATTTTAGTGTCAGAGCACTTACTGAACAGAATTATATAACTTGATGCACAAAACATCTTTGTAACAAGGGTGTAATTATTTTTTTGGAAAATATGCTCAACCAACCGGTCAAATTGGCCTTCATATTGTAGCAATACAACTTTTTCAGAGTTTCAGAGATGTTTCCCAATAAAATATGGTAAATAAATGGCTAGATTCATGGTAATATTACTAAATCTAGTACTGCCTTATGAGTCTCAGAGTGAAAGAGCGATAATAATTTATATAGCACCTTTCATGCATGAAATGCAGCCCAAAGTTGCACACAGATGAGCAAGTTAGGCCAACACAGACAGGATATAGACATTTGCTGTTAGGCCAGTGTTTAGTTGTTAGGCCAATTCAGCATATACAGTAAGATGAGCAAGTTTTTGTTTTTATAATGAAAAACACTTTCCATTACTTTTTCCCATCTTTTTTTTTTTGTATTATAATTTATTATTTTTTATGAATATATCTGGTTTTGATTTTGAATGCAGTTATTTTACTTGTAACAGAGTATTTATTTTTTTAAGTACAATATCTGAGTACTTCTTCCATCACTGCTTTCTTCAGTCTATGTAAACACTTTGTTCTGCTCTGAAGACTATTCTCTCTCAATCAGCTGAGCTGGTTGAAGTGTTCAGATCCTTTAATTAAGTTAAAGTAATAATACCACAATGAAGAGTTATTCTCTAACAGGTAAAGGTCCTGCATTAACATTTACACATAAGGGGTGATTATATGTTGTATTATTTATATAAATCTTCAAAGCAACTGAAGTTGTCAAATAAATGTACTGGAGTAAAAAGCACAATATTTCCCTCTGAATTGTTGAGAAGTAGAAGTAGCAAGTAAATCAGGAGTATCTGAAAAAGTGACTTAAGTACATTATGCTTCAATACTGTTCTACTTTGGACTCACACTTGCACATAGACATGTATATTTAGAATATTCCCAATAACTTATACGTTTATATGTTGACCGTTTAACCTAATTCTATTTTATACTACTCTTACTTATATTTTGTATTCTTATTAACCTTGTGTGAACTCCTGCCTTGTCCTTTGGTGTGTTTCAATCTTTTTGGTAGGTTTTCATGATCTGGTTCATATCTTTCTAACTTTTTCTTTTAAAAAAACGGAGCATAGCATTCAGCATGGAAAAATCTGATTCTGTAATAGTCAAAGCGCAATATGTTCACAGTTTAACAATATTTAGTTTTGATCAAGTTCCCCTTGGGAGAAAACAGCAACTCATAGGATATGAAATGTTTCTGTAGTGCAGGGAAGTCACAACCTTTTTGTAGCTTTGAATGTTTAAAAGTGTTACGCTTATTAAATAAACATGTATGGGCTCTGATGCTGACAAACTGTGTTACTGTGTTGATATAAAGTCTGCCTGAGTAAATACTTCTGTTAATATTTTCCATGTGTATTGCTCTTGTCCCAGGAATAATAGCTCAATATTGGCATGTTCCTTTAGGCATGCATAATGGACTGAATCAGTCCCATTTATCTGTTTCTCTATGACCGCAAACAGATTAGATGATCAGCAGGCCTGCTATCAGGTCACAACAGAGAAATGCCCATTTTGTTATCCATTTAAACATTTGAACAGTCCAATGCTACCAGGATATGACAGCAGTATCTGATACTGTATGTATTTAATGCCTTCTTAAACCAAAATACAAAGGTATAAAAAGGTATAAAGCCAGAAGCACCGAAACAAAGTCATTTCAAGGGAAAGACAACCAAGGTCGCTGTCAATATCAGATTGATACTTTTAACCATTTCCGCTGATCATCATATTGAGATTTTGATGCCATCATGTTTCTGAAAAGAAACACCTGTTTCATGGTCTTTCTGTTGTGTTCTCTGACTCTGTGGTGCAAGTCGACCAGCGCAGGCTCCAGCTATCTCAGCCCTTCACAAAAACCTCAGGTAAGAAACAAATGATTTTATTTATTCATTTCAATGTGGCTTATCAAGCAAGCTTCCCCATATTGATTCAACTATATCATTTGAATTTAAATCAATACAATATTCAGTTTTTAATTGGGCAGTATAGCTGTGCTTGATTTGAATTTGTATTTACTCATTTTAAACCAATGTTCTCTCTAAATGAATCCATGTTGATGCAACCGAGAAGTATGTGATCTCCTTGAGTGCATCTGAACATACAAAAGCTTAATTGATTATAACCATGACATTTCTCTGGTCTCACCACCACAGAACAAAGGGAGGTCTTCCAGGGTCGGGCGCCAGCTCATGGAGCCGCCGGGTCCTCCGGCTGAGGAGAACCACATCACAGTGAGGGCAAATCACATTCTTTACTACCTCTCCCAAAATCATCCCACTTACTGTATTGTCTTCCTCTGCTCTGAGTAGATAAGCGCTCCCTTTGAGATTGGCTTCACTGTGAGGGAGCAGGACTTTGAGGAGTACGGCACAGCGCTGCAGGAGGTCATTCAGCGTCTGCTGGGAAACACAGACCCTGCAGCAGGTAGGCCTCATTTCTCTGTTGTATACATTAAAAAGGTTGTGTTCCTTTCAGCCAGTATTTATACAAATAATTAAACCCTTTTTTAATATGTGAACATCTTGTTTTCAGAATGACCATCACGACTTTGAAGATCATGCACAGGAATGTAAACGTTGCTGTCCCAAACAGTGGCGTTTTCTCCCGGAGGCCAAGGGAAGCCAGGCTTCCCCTGTTTTTTCGGATTGTAGTTATAATTTAAATAAATAAATAAAAACACTTTGTTTTGTTTCGATAATTCTCCTTTGCTGTGTGTTGCTGCTGGCCCGTCTCTCCCCCATTCTCATTGAGTATTTTACAAAGAGTGAAACAGCGCCCCTCTAGATGTTATGGTGAAACAGTAGATTGCACTCACTGTTGCGAGAGGAGGCCAGCCGAATCTGGCTTCCCTTGGTGAAAACAAATGGAGGGATTGACCAATCAGATGAGGCTCACGTGATGCCCCTGCCAACCTGTGATTGGTCAGGGCCATGCCAAGGGAAGCCAGAGGCGGCTGGCTTCCCTTGCCTCACAATCCAATCAAATCGCATCAATTTAGTGTTGAAGTGACGCGTCCTAAAATCCGGAAGTAAGCTGCTCTCGGTTTCCCTCGACAAAAAAACGATGGGATTTCTCCATAGGATTTAGGAAAATAGCTCGAAATAAGGTCAGTGGAAAACGAACCTGTTAGATAAATGCAAGTTTTGTTCAGTCGGATAATATCCACATGTCTACCCTACTTTTATAATTTTCGAATCATAAATCTAATCGATAGAAGACAGTGCTTGAATTGGAATGAAAAAGGTGCCAGTACTCTAAAATCAGCAACTTTTTCAAGTCAATTTTATATATACAGCCCACAAACAAGAATTTGGCTACTATAATGCTGGTGGGTTTGTCTCTTTACTACTGTATATTTTAGAAAGGTTCACTGTACTTAACATTTGTTATGATAGGCAGCGGATATGGCTAAAGCTCAGTAAGGTCAATATTAACTGAAAATATAGCAATCAAAGTCTAGATCTTCTGCTGAAGACACATGAAGCAGAGACCTTTCAGGTGAGAGCCCCTCTGGTGGTGTTCAACATTAATGACAAGGAAACAAAGCTCTGGTCAGAAGCATTTTTTATAAAAAGCTTTAACAAAATTAAGTATTTCTGTACATTTTGAATGCGATCTAACTTTCCAACTCAGAAAACGAAAAACGAAAAAGTGCCAAAAGTCTTCTCACATGGCTGAGCTGCTTTGCAATATACTTCACCACTGAAGAATACAAATATGTATAAAGTAAACTATGATGCAATCTAACTTTCCAACTCAGAAAAATGATAAAGAGCATGAACAAAGAACATGTAAAAACAAATGCAAAATTTGCACAATCTGAAATGAGAAACTGTAACTGCAAGTAACAAAGTCTGAGCCATGGTAAAGAGTTACATTGAACACCAAGCTGATCAGATAACTCCCTGGTTGGTCTGAAGTCCTTCTATCTCCAGGATCTGTACAAATCGGCACATTATGCCAAAAGTCTTCTCACTGGGTGAGCTGCTTTGCAATATACTTCACATTGTTAGAAAAGGCTCCAGAAGGCCTTGGGGACATCAGTATCAGGGGCTGGAGCTGGACAGGCTCTTTCATCAGCACTTCTCCTTCCCTTTGCCAGCCAGGACCTCACATACTGTTCCGGATTGAACTGTCCTAGTGATGGTCCATTACATTTAATGAAAACCAGGCTGGACAGTCGGCTGACAGAGAGAGCATTCCTTTTTGCAGTAAGGATATCGTTCATGCAGCTGAATGCCCGCTCACACTCACTAGTGGAGACAGCGATGGTTCGGACTGCTTTCAGTAGAGGCTCCATGGCAGCAGGTGTACGGGGTGCCCTGGTTTCCTTGTATTCGCGAAAGCCCTGAACAGTCTCTCTTCTGTCCACTTTCAGCACTTCGCACAAACGTAGCACCTCTACGTCCCCATACTGTACGTCTAACTCCTCTTCAGGGCAACTTCCAGGATGGATAACTTTCATGTCCTGGATTAGCTGATTGTCCCGGGCCTCCCGGCCATGTAATGGGATTTCTCTTGTGCTGACATGAGAGGAGATTGTGGAAGTCATTCTGTGTCTCAGATTCTCTACCATACAGCGGAAAAACTGACCTGCATGAATCTGTACAAGCCTGCCATTCTCACGCAGGGCAACACCCTTGAAGGACTTCTCAGCTAGAGCTGTATGAACTGTAGTCATGTGTGGGCCAGGCATGGTGACCATGGATTCAAAAACTCGTATTTCTCGAGTTAAGAGCCTATCTGCTGTAGGCAGTGTCATCTCTCTTTTTTGGAGTTGCCGAGAGAGGTCGCTGAGCTCTGTGAGCGCATCGTACATCAGTCCCAGATTGCTGACAAACGTTGCAGATGTGAGCACATCATCCAGGCCCTTGTACTTTGCTCTGTCTCTGGAATCCCTGCTCGTGTCGTTTGCAGCATTTGTGAAGTGATCATGAAGCACTCGGTAGTTTTCCCAGACTGCTCTGACGCTCCTTTCACTTGAAGCCACCCAGCGGATGGACAAAACACGCCCTATCACCAAGAGACGCTGTCCGACTGCTTGCGCACACTGCGCTAACTGCCTCTGATTTTTGGGGGAGGCATGGAACAAGGAATAGAGTTTGTCAAAAAAGATCTGGAAATGATTGAGCCCTGAGACCTCCTTGACCACATCCCCAACTGCCAGCTCTAGACGATGATTGGAGCAGTGCCACACAAACAGGCTTGGGAATTTTCTACACAACTGGGTAGCAACGCCTGTTCTCTTTCCTAGCATGACTGAAGCCCCCTCACATGCAAAAGAAACGAAACACTGACCTAAAAAGTCCTCGTTAAAATCTCTTCCAAGACACTCCATTAACGCCTTTGTGATGTCATCAGCCGTTGTTCCATCCAACTCGATCAGCTCCCAAAAAAACGTTTCGGGCTCAGCATCAGCTAATGCTGAGCGTAGACACACAACAAGCACCGTTTTACCACTAATAGTGGTAGATTCATCGACCAAAACACAGAGTTTTCTTTGGTTTTCTGTAATGTCTTTTGCCATTTTTTTCTTCAGCTCATGAGCTATGTGGTCGATGATTTCGCCACAGGTTTTATTGGAGTGCAAAACCCTGCCCACGTTCAGCCCATTCAGTTTCTGTACATTCAAATCAATTGGCATGTCTGTGAATGGCCGGCTATGTTTGCCAATTGTATATGCCGTTCGAAAAACTCTGATAGTGGTGTCTAATTCAGATGTATGCATAGACTGCACTTGATGTTGAATAGTTTCACGTGAAGCAGATGTAAGGATGTCATCAGCTTTTACATGGGCTTGTGATTCTTTATGTTCTTTGATTTTTGTTCTCAGGCTAGCTTGTTGTTTGCCCTTGTCAACACCGAAATGAGACACTGCACACTCACCCCATTCAGTTGACAGTTTCAGTCCTTGTCCAGTGTGTATTCCCAAAGATTTGACATCTCTGCATATCCAACATCCTAGCTTCTTATCTTTAAGAAGGAGCCATGCATTGGTCTTGCAAAAATATTGCACCTTGTCCGTTGTCCAGCAGTCAGGTGCATCGCTTTGCCCGGTGTTGGTGGTGGCAGTTGCGCCAGCCGCAGCTAACGTTAGAGGCTCTGGAGGAGGCGGCGGAGCTAGTGCTAATGCTAATGCACTAGAACTTGGAGCAGGAGGATCAACCAAAGAAAGCTCCCCATCAGACACAATTTCCAACACAGGCACAGCATTCTCTGTATTTGAAGTTTCTTCCGGCGACAACCGCTGTCTTTTTGCACTTTTATTACATTTTAGAAATGCTAATTTGTGACGTGACTTGCTTTCCTTCTCTCGGGGGCGTGCCTGCTCTGTTCTATCACTCTACATAGCCACCCACTGGGTGGGAGTTGCACTGCATAAACACAACACACGTGCATCTAGGTATGTACATTGTAAAGCATTAAAACATGGTTTTACTAACAGTTTTCAGTATGTTGTTACTTCGGCATTATTATTATTATTATTTTGAAACGTGTATTACTATTAAATCACGGTCAAATAGGTTAATTTTGACATAGTCGTTTCCACCACAGTATTTACATGGAGAAGATAAGCCCCGCCCCCTCTCCAGCACGTTCTGTTTGAATGACAGGAGTAAACAGCTGACAGCCGCTGTGAAACTCCAGCGGTTAGAGCGATGAGAATGTCCGTTCGGCACCTCATGACGCATCTACTGAGTAGTAGCGGCTGTATATATATATATGGATGTATAATAAGAACGGCGGGAGAGTGTTGAGTACTGGCACGGTGCATGAGTACCGGAGTACCGCCAGCATGCCGGTACTGAGCAAGAAGTGCCGGTACTCCATGGGTCAGAACCAGAAGTGCCGGTACTGCGTACCGGTGAGTACCGGCCCAATTCCAGCACTGATAGAAGATAGATAGCGTCACTGCATCACTCTCACCGCCGTTAGAAAGTAGCAAGCAACTGAAGCAAGTGCAATTATGGAGGGTGGAGATTTGGAGTATTTCATCAAAAATAATTGTACTAAACTTCCGCTACAGCAGCAACAACAAATACAATCTGATGACAGGCCAATGCCCAAACTGGAGCTGTGTACAGCGAGGGAAAAAGGAGCGAATCGGACGTAAAACGTTAAAGGTCTCCTGATTTAGTTTGTGAATGAATGCTTATTAGAATTTCGGCTGGAGAGTGCGTGTAAGTCCTGCATCTGATACAAATGTGTGTAAAATGATACCGGGTGCTGTAATCACTCATCTGGTACCGCGGTGAATTTAGTTTTAGGTTGGATATTCGACGGACATTCGCGGACCCGCCAGCAGCGTCTGTATCCCGGACCCGCCAGCAGCGTCAGTTTAACGGGGAGATCTTCTCCGCGAAACGAGGCTTTCACTTAGGGACCATCAACAAATGACTTTTACAATTAGACAAGAAAAATGTTCTTTTTAATAAATCGACGGCTTCTCGATCGTGTGAATGTGAAGCAAATTCACTCTAGAGCATACATTTATTGAACACACCTCTTTTTATTGCATTTTAATACTTTAAATACGTTTTATTAATATTTTTGATGGAAACATTTGCTTATTTCTTCAATACCTTCCAGGTCATGGGACCTAATGACTCAAAATCAATGCTGAGTCAAAGGCCCAATCCCAAACCACTCCCTCGACCCTCCCCCTCCGTGACGGAGTGAACTCCGTCTGTAGGCACACTCACAGCTGAATGAAGTTCCCTCCATTAAGGGTTAAGGGTATAAATACAGCGGCAAGCTTTGGGATGGCCTCCCCTATCTCCGCAGGAAACGGAAACGGAAACGGACACGGACGTCATGGTGTCCAACTCACATCTCCATCTGTCGGCTGCATTGACCTGCGTTGCTATCCGTCGCCTGTTAGCGGGTGCAATGGCAAGATCCAACAGAAGGCGCAGAAGGTTGAGGCGCATTTTAGCGATGTGCCAGTGGCAGGTAAACATTTCAATATTGCTAATACAACAATTATCTTCACTTTATTTCTTATATAGTAGCCTATGAACTTTGTATGTGTAATACAAATAGATATTTAGATATATTGTGATATACATTCATTTATTCTTTCCTTATAAGCTATACGTGTATATCTGTATAGTGTCTGTAGAATTCCAACACAGAAAAATGTTGTCAGTAGTTTATAGAATAAAAAAGGAAAGGTTAATTTGACTTGGTCTCAGAATTGTTTACAGAGCTGTATGTGTGTGTGTATTGGAGTATAGTTATTGAACAATACTGTGTCCTGTGTTTGTCTTTTACAGGGGGGAAAAGGTCTTTACATGCAGCTCAATGCCACTGCCCCAATTCTCGCCGTGTATGCCAACCCTGAAGCCTGTCTAAAGAAGGACTTTAGAGTTAAGCGATCTAGTGTGGTGTATTTAGTGCAGATGTTTTCCTCCCCAAAGGACCACGGATGGGGACAAGACATCGAGGTGCTTGTTCTCCTCTACAGCTTGGCCCATGGACTATCACTCTCTGTGGTAGGTTCAGCATTCGGGATTCCCAAATCGACGGTCCACAGGATCATCAAACACGTCACCGGGAAGATAAAGGCCAACCTGAAGACCCTCATTTCCCTGCCAACCCCAGATGAGCTGCCAGAGATTGCAGATGGCTTCTGTCAGCTTGCAAAGAGTCCTGCATTTCACCGTGCTGCTGGTGCGATTGATGGATGCCATATTCGCATCAAACCTCCAGGAAACGAGTACCACAAGGAGTACATCAATTACAAGCTGTTTCCTTCCATCCAGATGCAGGCCATCTGTGACTCAACTGGGAGATTCCTGGATGTCTTCATCGGCTATCCAGGCTCCGTTCATGATGCCAGAGTACTGCGAAACAGCCCCATCTTCTGCCAGGCACTGTTTCCCCCAGCTGGTTGGTTCCTCTTTGGGGACGGTGGTTATCCCTGCCTGGAAAAACCAGTGGGATTACTGTTGGAGATTTGGAGGGATAACTGGTCCGCTTTTCAAATCTCCGCGCGTTCCTATGAAGCTGGTTATAATACAGGAAGGAATCCATAGCTACAAAGTAACCGTTAACAATAATCTACTTTAATGGCAATATGACAATGCAATACAATCATTACAATACAACATGATATATTACAGTTATATTGCAATGCTTAAGGAGTAATGCCGGCTTACTCCTGCCCTAGTCCGCATACTGCAGAGCTACTTTCACCCGAGGGCAGCATGTGAAGAAGAGGCCGAACGCCAGGGATCCACCGGAGATATACCAGAGTAAGAAGGAGGGGTTTGGTGTTAGGTCAGCTGGTCATCTTTTCAGGTCATCTCATTGGGAGACGCAACGCAGCAGGAAACGCAGCAGGAAACCAAACAGGCTCACTTTCCAACAAAAGGTCTCAAGGCCTGCATACCTACACCTCCCCCACAGAGCCATAAAACCCTGTTTACTCCAACCAGCCCAGAATGTTTATAGCCATTTGTAGTCCTTACATTTATGAAAGGATAAAACAGAGAAATCAATACAAAACACAAACACAGGTATTGTTTGAACAGTATTCACTTAACTGCTACTGTTGATAACCACCAGAGAAACCCAAGGGACCTCTCTTAACATCACAACCACTGCAGCTAGATCTAAGTTGAATGCAAATCAGGACATGCTCTCACCTTCCCCCATCTTCCTTTGTCCTCAAAAACACATGTCAACAGGCCCCAAATGCAGCTCACAGTTTTACCCAAATTATTCCCATTTTAAGCTTATCCATAGTTTGCTAACATGAATAAATACAAATATAACTCTACAAATCCCCCTTTTTATCTCCTTCTCCAGAGATAAACTTAGACAAGGCATTTTGAAATATACCCACTGTCATTATTTTCTACTGTGTCCGTAAATCCATCCGAAGCTGGTATTTAGAGTACTTGAAACCTTCATGGCGACAGAACACCACTTTCCATGGCAGTGAAGGAACCATGAGGGGGTAGCTGAGTGCTAGAATCATCAGCCCCCCCCCCCTCCCTCGGAGGAATAGCCCACAAGGACAGCTAATAGGGAGGGGGAGATGCAGCTTTCCCTTCACGGGTAGAACTGAGTAGAACCGAAGTAGACTCCTCTGCTGCGCCGTCCTGGCTTGCCGTGTCTTTGTCCACCCAATCTGCTGACAGCAGCTTCTGGGCTGCCTGCTAGAGAGATGTCTTCCTCCTCCTCGTCCTCCGGCCCGCTGATGGCGGCTTCCGGGTCGATGCTGTAGAGATGTCTCCAGGGTCCTCCTTCTCCGGCCCGCTGATGATGCCTCCCGGGTCGTCTGCTGTAAGGATGTCTCCAGGGTCCTGCTCCTCCAGTCTGCTGCTTCCGAGTAGTCCACGTCTGCCAGGGCCACGTCCGTCCTGATGTCGTCCCCTGGTCCTAGTAGGTGGTTTCCCCGCCGCACACTGGCTCCCGTGGTACGAGCTGTCCCCCTTTTCTCCCAGGCAGACGGCATAAGAGATCCGCTGGGTCACTCGGTCGGGGTCGGAGAGCCTGGGGTTGAGCCACTTTGTCCTCGTGCTTCTCGGGTCCCCCTTTTGGCGCCAGTGACCTGTGTGGAGAAATCTGATACAACTCCCTCAAGCCTACGCTCAGCTGTTTTTGACCCACTTGGAGCCTGTTGGTGGGGTGTCTTGAAACAACAGCCGTCTGTGAACAGGTTTTCCAAATTAATTGTAGACCTCCTATCTGCCAGTGCAGCTTCAGAATCTTAATACTTGGATTGTGCCAACTAAATAAGAACCCCAACATCTTTAGGTAAACTAAATAACATATTTCAATAGCTCTGAATTTCTGACAAGCATCCGTGTTTATTTTTAAATGAAATCCTATTTAAAATCCAAACATAATATGAACTGCTAATGTTTCTGGTAAAGAAACACACTAATGTTATGGATTCAAAAACAACCAAAATCACGATGCTAACAAAGTGAATGATTTCCTGGTGATACTGCTTTTACCTGTCAGTGCTTAGATATTATCACGCTGAAAAAATGAATACAGAATTCCAACAAACTGTCATCAAATGTCTTTCTATTATAAATTTAGATGAAATGTATATCCCCATAATGACCTAAATAATAAAGTCTATGGCTTTTACTCCTTTACCAGGCTAGTTACATGATGTTGTCTAAATAAAATTCTGTCTCATTACATTACTATGTTTTAGCTTAACTTAACTGTAATATGTTCTTTCTACATTTCAAACCTCAGTTACTCTAATGTCTGTTAAAATATTACAAAATTGTTTCACTATCACAGGTCAACTTCTTCGGTTTCACAGTAGCCCCTTGGCCACTGCTTCTTTGTTACCTGTTATAATTCAAATCAATATTTAGAAACATCTCAACATTCATCAAACAGTATCTTATCCCCAGATATGGAGCAGGTTAATTACATTCAATGCTCAGTTTGAACATCTGGGTTGGGGCGGAAGGTTTCTGTCAATCCTTAAAAGAAAAATGTAAATTGTGAATTTTACAGCCATGTTGACATTTATACATTATACTCACTCCCCCCTTTTACACATGAAATCATGTGTAACAAAAGCCTGTAATGGGAGGGGAACAAAAACTGTCAGGTAATTGGTTAGGAACATAACGAACATTATTATCATTATTTCCACAGTGAACACTTCAGTGAAAAGAAGTGTTCCTCTCCGTCCTTCAGGCCTAAAAGAAACAGAATCTTCAGATTGTAGTTTTACATTTGCAAACCGCCAACTCATGTGAGAGGAAAATATCACATGTGCGGTTTCCCCTTTTTGTGGAATTTTTAGGAAACCTCTCGTTTCCCTTGGAGCTCCAAAATAATATGTTAGTCCAAAAACATGCTTGGTTAGTTATTGTTTTAGAATCATGCAGTTACACTGATCACATGCCGGCATTCATTCACACTCACACTGTCTGGTTGTCATGTCAAGTTTGGTCAGGTTCACCCCAGAGTCAGTCATCCACAGTGCCTTGTCAAGTTACACTGTCGGTCAGGGTCAAAGGTCAGTTGGTCTCCGTCTTTTTTGGCCATGTGTCGTGCTCTGCAGAGACTTTGACATTTCAGCATAGGCCAGTATCCTTTGTCTACAAAAATATGTCACGATTTCAACTATAATTTTCAAGATGATTCTCACTTGTCATTGGGACTTCCGCCTCCCACTTTTCCTGAAACTTGGTACAAAACTCACTTCCTTCGAGTACCACTACTAATTAAAATGTCTAATGATCTATTTCAGAAACTTGTGTACAATAACTATTATCTTGAGTCAAAACATTACTAGGATCTGTGTCGCTCTGCATTTCATAGCTCATTATAATTCTGGGCTACTTAAAAAACGATGTTAAACTCTTTAGCAGTGTGTGGAACCTTGGGTGTCCGAACATGCAACAATTACTCCCTCCTTTATCAAGGATTTAAAACCGAAGTCTGGTAATAACTATGCCACAATGGTGAAATCAACACTTTAGATTGGAATTTAATATGTGGCTTGGCACTAGCCATTAATACAAACAAAGATTTGTCCTATAGAGTGGTTCCTAAAACTATCCTTTTAATGGTGATCAATATTGTAACCAATGAGACCGCTACTTTATTCACACGTGAATAAAAATGTCTTAAAGAATGAATTGTTAACATGATGAAAATATTGAAGAATATGGTTCTACTCTGTCAGTGTGTTTTAGGATGATTATCATTTTACTTTAATAGTTTCCTCTTTACTGCTATTTTTAATTTACCAAATGATTAATAAATCTTTCTGTCTTTACGTATTTACGAAGTTAATTCAAGTTATTTAAATGTGCGTTTCGTGAATAAGTGTGTTTATGTGTAACTCACTCATTCCCGTTCTCCTTTCCTCCTCCCCTGGTTTTCTCAAGCCGTGACCCCGGCCTCCTCACTTCTAATCGACCATGCCAACTCCTCTGATTCTGTCTTCTCTTCAGTCCATCAGCTGTTGAATCCATCCGCTGTAACTTTTGTAGGCCGCCATTGGCCCAGTCACATCTGCAGCCCCATCATGCCACTGTTGTTGCACTCCTCCTTTACAGTCTCTCTGCTGTTTTTATGGAGGGCGGATTCTGCTCTCATGTCTATTGTGCCAAATCTCGCGGCGCAGTTTGGAACTTCATGTCCTGTTTGAGGGACCGATGAGAGTATCTCTCTGTATGTCAGCATGCTGGTTTGGTTCTGGATGCCGCAGGTGGAGATAGTTCTGGCTGCAGTCTTGATGTAGTCTTGTTGTTGTTGTTGGTTCAGCTCTGGTTCTCTGTCTGTACGATGGAGAAGGAGGAGTCTCCTGTTGGGTTAGGTCTCGTTGTCTGCTTGGAGGGTCGGGATCAAAGCCTTTCTAACTCAGAGGGGGAGTCCAGGTCCCGGTACACATTACCTATAAGAAGTCTAGCACACTGATGTTAAATAAATCCAACCCTTTCCACTCTGTCTCTTTCTAATCATACTATCTGTCTTAGTTGTTAAATGCCATCTAAACAACATAATTAATGTCTACTTATGATATTACAAAAACTAACTCCAAAAATTGTTTCATCCATTGTTACATATTTACCCAACACAACTCTGAAATACTTACATGTTTCCAGCATCACATATTCCACACACTATGAAAGAACATCTCCATATCTTCTCTCATTTTAAATCCCACTGTTACTTCGAACAATAGTAAACCTGCAGAGCACACCAATCGGATCACAGTAATGAAATTTGAATCAAGTGTAGGCCTATGTCTTCTTTCTGAACATTTATTTATATTGTCTACATTTGCAAACAGTTCGAGTGTAAAATGTGTTTTGCACAATGTATTTACACTCTACAGATTCTTGAGTTTACTCATCTCCTGGTGCTGTCGTTGTAAAAAATGTTCAATCCCTTATTGTTTTGTACCAGTTTACCAAACAATACCGGCCAGCAATGTAATGATTAAACTCTAAGCTCGCATAAGTTTCAAGGGTGTGATACCCCCTTTCATCCACTAGATGGCAGCAGCAGAAGTTTCAAGGGTGTGATACCCCCTTTCAGCCACTAGATGGCAGCAGCAGAAGTTTCCAGACAAAGGGAAACGCTCTACCTTGGTTTAATATATAACAGACCTCTGGCTTTAAGCTTTTAGCATTGGTCTGTTATTTAAACCCCAGGTTTAAACGGCGACTCGATCTGATATATCGAGTTTTCAGGTTTTGCCGTGCAGGATTCAAACCTCGCATTCACACAAACTGCACCATTTCTACGCCACTCAGGAATAAACACCTGCAGATCCGCGCCAAACTGCTCTATTTTACGTCACGCAGGACTTTCGTCTACCTGTCGATCAACGTTTACGTTTTGTATATAACTTTCCTAACATAGTAAAATATGCATTGTATATTCCATTTAAACTATAAAAACACTGTGAAACGCCTACAGACAATCCTAAAGTTTTAGCGTATCCAATTACAGACAGGCGACTTTCATCGTCTGCTTACCTTATTTGCAAAGTTGCAGAGTCCTGCTGATTGTCTGAGATGTTTGAAAGCGTCTGAATTCTTCCTCAGCTTCGTTATAGACGTCGGGTCACCATTTTGTTGGAGATTTGGAGGGATAACTGGTCCGCTTTTCAAATCTCCGCGCGTTCCTATGAAGCTGGTTATAATACAGGAAGGAATCCATAGCTACAAAGTAACCGTTAACAATAATCTACTTTAATGGCAATATGACAATGCAATACAATCATTACAATACAACATAATATATTACAGTTATATTGCAATGCTTAAGGAGTAATGCCGGCTTACTCCTGCCCTAGTCCGCATACTGCAGAGCTACTTTCACCCGAGGGCAGCATGTGAAGAAGAGGCCGAACGCCAGGGATCCACCGGAGATATACCAGAGTAAGAAGGAGGGGTTTGGTGTTAGGTCAGCTGGTCATCTTTTCAGGTCATCTCATTGGGAGACGCAACGCAGCAGGAAACGCAGCAGGAAACCAAACAGGCTCACTTTCCAACAAAAGGTCTCAAGGCCTGCATACCTACACCTCCCCCACAGAGCCATAAAACCCTGTTTACTCCAACCAGCCCAGAATGTTTATAGCCATTTGTAGTCCTTACATTTATGAAAGGATAAAACAGAGAAATCAATACAAAACACAAACACAGGTATTGTTTGAACAGTATTCACTTAACTGCTACTGTTGATAAGCACCAGAGAAACCCAAGGGACCTCTCTTAACATCACAACCACTGCAGCTAGATCTAAGTTGAATGCAAATCAGGACATGCTCTCACCTTCCCCCATCTTCCTTTGTCCTCAAAAACACATGTCAACAGGCCCCAAATGCAGCTCACAGTTTTACCCAAATTATTCCCATTTTAAGCTTATCCATAGTTTGCTAACATGAATAAATACAAATATAACTCTACATTACTCACACCCTACAAGGTCCCTCGCGGCCAGGTGCAGGCCAGATTCAACAGGCATCATGCCAGGGCTCGGTCTGTGGTGGAAAGAGCATTTGGAAGGATGAAGGCTCGCTGGAGGGCCACCCTTTTCAAAGCGCTGGAGGTCAGTCCAAGCTTTGCCCCTGACATCATTGCATGTTGTGCATTTCTGCACAATCTGTGCATAGACATGAACGATGTCCTTGAGGATGCTGAAGCCTTCCCCCCTGAAGATGGGGACCAGAGTCCTCCCCCTGCCGCAGCATGTGGACAGGAAAGTCCTGGACACCACCTAAGGAACAGGATTGCTGCACAACTCTCTGCTCCTGTCCAAATGGCACCACACCTGAGAGAGCACGATTACATCTAATGAACTTTGTTTTTTTTTTGGAAAAACGTGGTTGTCTGTTAACTTGTGTTTTTGAAATGATGTGCACACATACCTGATTTAATTTTGTTTGTTTTAGTGAGCTCCACTTCTCACTTTAGAGAAAAGAGGTGAAATAAAATAAACCTGTGCACCGTTGATTTCAAACTTGGTTTTCCTGAATTGTCTTTCTGCATAATCCCAAATTGGAGACAAATGTCCTTACCTCTTGGATCATTCAATCACGAGCACAGAGCAAAGGTTCAGAAAATGAACACAGGTCTTCTAATACAATCACTTTAGTTTTTCCTTCTACATTATGAAACCCACACAGAACAATGTAGCCATCTAACAATCAAGCAAACGCAATGTCACCTTCATCACCCGTCTACCTGTATTTACTATATCCCATACAATATTGAAGACATGAAGGACAGTACGTTAAATTAGGTTTATTGTCTTCCAAATAAATAATACAAGCGAACAAAAACAAGTCTTTTAAGTAACATCAATAATCAAACATAGAAATGGCCAATGGTGGGGGGGAAAAAATAAATCACATTTTGTCGACCATTTTTTCGAACAGGGTTAGAAATGTATCTGAGTGCTGCATTATTTCTCTGTGGCGTTCGTCCTCTTTTTCTGCCTCGCGTTCTAGGCACTCCAGCACTCCCATAGCACCTTTTCTTTTTTGGGGGGGGGGGCTGCTGGGTGGTTCCAGCCTCAGACAGTGATGAGGGTGGTGAGGGGTCTGGATCATCAGCCACATTTGGGGGGGGGAAGGAAGAGGAGCAGGAAGCAGCCTCCGGATCAAAGAGGATTGTGGGGTTTGCCAAGGCTGAGGCAACAAGGACAGGAGGACTAATTGAAGGCCTTGCACCTATGGCCTCATCCATGGCCATGAAGAAGGGCCATGTTGCAGGGGTTTCTTCCCCCTGATCAGTCCCTGTTCCAGTCCTTGGCCTTTTAAGTTCCTATTGCAAACAAATGCATGTTAGAAATCTTTGTTCAGCTTTTTCAAAAACAAACATGTTTTACAATAACAATACACCATTTACCTTGTATTTCTTTTTTAGGTTCTCCCATTTCTTGGAGGCCTGTTTGTGAGACACATGTTGCCCAAGGTCCAGTTCCTTAATGATTGACCTGTTATCATAGAATATTTAAACAATATATATTGGTGTTAAGGCAATGACCCACAGTGCACATTCATTACTTTCATTGCACAAAATATGAATTGAGTGCATAACTCACTCCCATGCTTCTTTGGCAGCATTGCGTTTTTTGCAGAACAGGTCATCCTTTTCCATTCTTAAAGCAATAAGTGCCTTGGTTTTTACCACAGTCCCTGAAATTACAAATCACACTTAAGTTTAAACCGATTTCGTAAGTGAATGGATACATGAATTGACACGTGTTGTTAGTTTGATTCCGATTTAGATTTGTACATCTTCAAAATAAAAATCTAATGTAATCTTGGCAAATCAAATTAACACGTGTAGATTCATAAATACATGTTCACAAAGGCATGTTTTAGTTAAGGCAACGTATTATTTATCATTTAAAAAAATAACCACATGGAACTCACATTTGTATGACGTTGTTCCCTCCATGCCCGAAAAACGGTTGCACACCTGTGGAGTGAGATTATCAAGCCTGCATCCATGCAAACTCGCTGTCGGAGGCTTTTATAACCCACTACGCCTCCGCCCTGATTGCTTTGGACCAGCCCTCAATATGGCGGACCCTTCGCGTGAATGCGCAAACGGAGGGGTAGGGTGTAGGGGGCGGTTTGGGAATGGGCCAAAGAACTACACTGGCTGAATAGGACACACCTCTTTTTATCGCATTTGAACATTCTAAATATTTTATATTAATATTTTGATGGAAAAATGAGCTTATTTCTTCAATACCTTCCAGGTCATGTGACCGATTCACTCAAAATCAATGTTGGGTCAAATAACTACACTGGCTGCATAGGACACACCTCTTTTTATTGCATTTTAATACTTTAAATATTTTATATTAATATTTTGATGGTAAAATGAGCTTATTTCTTCAATACCTTCCAGGTCATGTGACCGATTCACTCAAAATCAATGTTGGGTCAAAGAACTACACTGGCTGCATAGGACACACCTCTTTTTATTGCATTTTAATACTTTAAATATTTTATATTATTAATTTGATGGAAAAATGAGCTTATTTCTTCAATACCTTCCAGGTCATGTGACCTAATCACTCAAAACTAAATGCTGGGTCAAAGAACTACACTGACTGAATAGGACACACCTCTTTTTATCGCATTTGAACATTCTAAATATTTTTATATTAATATTGTTGATAGAAAAATGAGCTTATTTCTTCAATACCTTCCAGGTCATGTGACCGATTCACTCAAAATCAATGTTGGGTCAAATAACTACACTGGATGCATAGGACACACCTCTTTTTATTGCATTTTAATACTTTAAATATTTTATGTTATTAATTTGATGGAAAAATGAGCTTATTTCTTCAATACCTTCCAGGTCATGTGACCGATTCACTCAAAATCAATGTTGGGTCAAAGAACTACACTGGATGCATAGGACACACCTCTTTTTATTGCATTTTAATACTTTAAATATTTTATGTTATTAATTTGATGGAAAAATGAGCTTATTTCTTCAATACCTTCCAGGTCATGTGACCGATTCACTCAAAATCAATGTTGGGTCAAAGAACTACACTGGCTGCATAGGACACACCTCTTTTTATTGCATTTTAATACTTTAAATATTTTATATTATTAATTTGATGGAAACATGAGCTTATTTCTTTAATACCTTCCAGGTCATGTGACCTAATCACTCAAAATCAATGTTGGGTCAAAGAACTACACTGGCTGCATAGGACACACCTCTTTTTATTGCATTTTAACACTCAGGCCCATTCCCAAACCGCCCCCTACACCCTACCCCTACACCCTACCCCTCCGTTTGCGCGTTCACGCGAAGGGTCCGCCATATTGAGGGCTGGTCCAAAGCAATCAGGGCGGAGGCGTAGTGGGTTATAAAAGCCTCCGACAGCGAGTTTGCATGGGCGCATTCACACTGCGGTACTTTTCCCACAAAGGTTCATGTGAACTTAGTTCATGTGAACTCTTTAGTTCGCATGAACTAAGTACAGATCGCGTTCACACTGGAAAAAGTCCCTGGGGGTGGATTAGGCAAAAGAAGCCGCTGACGTCACTTGTTCTTCTTCTGCTTTGGGTTTATTGGCAGGCCGCAAACCACTTCACGGCATATACTGCCGCCCAATGTCCCCGGCCGGAAGTCCCTGGAGTTGGGGACTGGCTTCACTCCCAGCAGCTTCTACTGAAGCCTTCCGAGTAAATCGCCAGAACGCCGACACCTCCTCATCTCCACCGCTCCCATGTTTTATTTTGTGTTGCCATAAGTTAGTCTCTCTGCGTTTCTGCGCTGGGCTAATGCTAATGATAATAATGCTAATGCGAGGATAATAAAATGGCGGCTTCACAAAACTTTTTGGGAGTTTTACGGGACGTGGTTTGCCATCCGCCCAGCCAATCAGAAATATAGCTCTTTTCTCACAAGAGAGCCGCACGGGTAAAAAGGTTCACATGAACTAATTTTAGTACCGGCTCTTTTTGGTGTGAACCATAGACTTGAAGGACGTCTCATTTCTCTAAATGCACACCGAGGACCGAGCATCGAGCGTCGAGGACGCTCTCTGGAGGAGCTATAACCGAGGATACACTGGTGGTTCCTCCACGGCTCCTCCACGGATGCATTTCCGGGAACGGTGGAGGCGTGACGCACGGCCGGACTTATCTCAGCCAATGACAGCTATGCATGCATCCCCTGGATATTATTTTAGAAACTGCTTTCATCGCGTCGCGATGTTTCCAGAGAGAAGGTCCGTGCAGAAAGCAGAGCAGTGTGTATAATATATATCACTCAGTATAACAGGCCTACTCTCTTTATTTGCTTTAGTTTAGTAGATATCTACAAACAAAGAGTCGATATTTTAAGACCATTGCTTCACATAATAAAAAATACACAACGGCTTATGCTTTAGGAGCTGTAGGTGTGTGTGGTAGGCCTAGGCCCTACAGTGTGTAGGTGTGTGTTGTACAGTGCGTACATGCGGCGGACAGACGGGTCTCAGTTGGTTTGGTGTCCTCTGCTTACTTTTAATAGGCCTACTTGTAAATACAACTTTTGGCCCGTAATTTCAATTCCCCATTTCAGCGACCAGAGAGAGGGGGGGATATATCCAGTCTCTGATTGTGTTACGTTATTATGAGAGTGCTCTCATACTTTAAATTGTATATATTTATATACATATATTTGTGTGTGTGTGTGTGTGTGTGTGTCCGCATCTGTAGCCTGTTATTGTCTCATTATACCGCACTCTCAATGAATTCAAAGTAAATATGTGGGGGAACAATGTTCAGCTGATCTAACAGAGATACAGCGCTATGACAAAACACTCGACAGCTGATGCAGCTGTTGCCACGTAATAATGAACGGACGTCTCTTTAAAATGACCGCTCAGAGGAGAGGAGTTCTCATTTCTTTAAACGTCTGCTGCTTCCCCTCCTCTCTCCTCGGTTCCCCTCCTCGGTCCTCCGCTCGCATCTCCTGTGGGCGGGTCTAAGTCTCGAGGAGGGGAACCGAGGAGGGGAGTCGAGGAGGGGACATTTGAGTATTGAGAAGCCTCTTGTATATAAATGGACGTAGGGTCCGTGACGTCACCCATAGGATTCTGCAGAGTTGCCGTGAAGCCCTTAGTAGGCGGAGTCGGCCACTAACGGCTCGACAGTGACGCCAGAGTTCAACTCCCGCCTTCTCCAGCCTGCTCCAAATAAGGGCAAAGAGGCGGAGCCGAGGCGGGACCTGCTGCCACCGAGCTGGAAGTTCCAGAGCTAGCTGAAGCTGCTAAGCTAACATGCTCCCCATCTGCACGCTGCCGTCGCATTTTACGTTTCTAAGGTAAGCGGACATGAAACTATTCAGCAAAACTATAAATAATAATCTAAGTTATTGAGCTTTTAGCATAATACTTCAGAATCTTAAAACCCCTTAACGTTTGTATGCAATTGTGCTAAATTCAACACTGGAATCAAGCAAATATGAATATGTTTGCATGACATTAGTTATTTATATTTTGATATCACTTAACTATACATTTAAGTCAAGCTAAGGTACATGTGATGGTAGCTAGTTAGTGCTCTTACCTGTGAGGCCTCCTCCAAACAGCATAATAACCAGACTATATCATTAAAACTAAGTACCAGTTCTAGATCCTTGACTTTAGACAAACAATTCAAAAGACAAAATGTATTTAAAGACCAATCTTTATTTGAATGTGCCTCTTAACCTGAGATATTAGTTATACAGTAATAGTATTGACAATCTAAAAAAACTGAGCAACTCAACAGTCAACTTTATGTTTCTTATTGTCTAAAGCATTTATTATTTTCATTTTCCCAATCTCATATTCAGTGTGGACGGATTGAGACAGCATGGTGTCCAGAGAGCTGCAGAGACTTCAGGGAGAAACCTCCGTGTGATGGACGTCCTGTCTGTTGGTTTGGAGAGGACTGAGGGTCTTTCCTCTGCGAGGAGGACCAGGGCTGATGAAGGAGCCCATGCTGGGCAAAGCTGATACCAACTGCACAGGCCTAGTCAGTCACTTTATTTGACTAAATGTGTTTACTTATACATTTAATAGGTTTACACCTTCTGTCCATATGTGCTTTTTATTTAAAACATTTGATTAACTTTTGGTTCACATTTCAATAAATTGTAATTGTATTTGCACTCCTTTTGTCCATTATTCTTACTGAAAATGTTAGATTACACATTCACATCTGACTGAAGATTGGCCCCATTTATTTGTGATGTTGCAAAACAAGGTACATGTTGTGAAGCTCATAAAGTGAGGCAAATATAAATAATCAGCTGATGGAGTGTAGATGTGGAAATAGCTGCATTCGATCAGCTGACTGTGTTTTCACAATAAAAGTAGTTTCTTAGTGAATGTCCTGTACTGGTCTTAAAATCTCATAACATCAGCTTTTAATGTTCCTCTTGGATGTTCTTCTTGACCCTCAGAGAAGGAGAAAATGTCCTGTCTTTCAGGCATGTCCTTTCCTAACAAAAATGACAGGAAACATAAAACATATTATTGCAGAAAAAGTGTGTTATTTATTAAAGCGGTGTGTTTGTGTGTTTAGGGGCTGTAGATGTAATTATTTTGTAATTGTAATGTTTTTTTTTATTTCAACAATGAGCTACAAAGACAATCAGATTATTAATGAACAGTATGAAGTTCATCAACATTGAAATATATGTTATTATCAAAATAATATTTAACTGTTATCAAAACGTAGTGCAACTGTAGAAGCTTGCTCTGTTGTCTCACTGAAAGAATCACTTTTACCACGTTTTTTACAGACAATATTGAGAGATAAATAGTAGCAGTTCTCACTATGTGTTAAATATCTTTGCCTTCAATACATTAAATTAGAAAGCTGACAAAGTCATATTGCTTGTTATCATCTAAATGTAACTTTTTGCATGGAAAAAACCCTCAACTTAACTGATGTGTAGGTGATCTAGTATTTAGTATTGTTTAATGGAATGTATATCAGTGTATTCAAGTCAATACTTCATTCATTTAAACCAATATCTTTCTTGATTCTTTGTACAGTATGAAAAAAGAGTCTTTGTACCTGTGCTGAAGTTCACTGCTGTGAGGAGTCCAGTTCTGTCTCTCACTCTCTGGTCCAGCCTGTCTGCATCACCTGGACACCTTAAACAAACAGATATATAGATATATATATATATATATATATATATATATATATATATATATATATATATATATGTGTAAAGTACCATGTGTACAAACAATATAACTGATTCTCTTCTGTTGAACATGTTGGATTGTGTATTGTCCGAGTCAGGGGCCTTTTTATTTTACTGTAACTTTGGAAGTTGTGTTACCAATGCTTACTGTTTATTTGATACCCATTTGGTAATACAATTAATAAAAACAACAAGGTTTGGGTTCGTTCTTCAGATGACTGTGACGTTAACGTGTAAGCTCGATAATGAACTCCAGCTCAACCAACCATATTGTAATATCTAAGTAATCATCTTGAAATATGACATTAATAATTGTAATATACACACATCTTATTGTGAGGTTGATTTCACATACACTACTTCGACATTAGCTTGTCTACATACTTGAGCATAGCCAATTTAAATTAACCTTAGATGCATACAGTTCTACCTACATAATAAAATATCTCTAAGTTACAAGGATGTAACCTTATTTTATCAACCTCAAACAGAAGCCGTTTGTTCAACAGTATTATCCCACTTAACACTTGTCTATTTCGTTGTAACCTTTATATATACAGTCTATGATTTTAACTTGGAGGCTACGATTACAATCGTTAGCACCGATGTAGCTACCACTAGCTTACATGCTAACCCAAGCCTCACCATTCATTACGTAGCTGATTAAATCATTAACACATAAATAAAGCACTAGAATTTCACTTACCGCAAAACCGCATTCATGCACCGTCTGTTTTAACCGCAGAGTGAGTCACAATAGTCCGATATATAAGCATGAAGAACAAACAACCACGGCCGGCTACAAGTTGTGTTTCCTGGATGAGCTGAGCAGGCAGAGTCCCTGTAGCTAACTTCACGGAGCAGCTAGCAGAGAGACAAGAAGCTAACAGCGGCAGGCACTTGACAGAGCCGTCACTCAATGTGACCACGCCCTAATTTATGCACAAACTTTAAGACCTAATATAAATAAAAGGGTCGCGTTAGAAAAAAATTCACTCACAGATCCATAATAATGAAGGTGGAATCTAACTATATCGATAATAAAATGTATGGAGCCAGGGGTAGAAACATTTTTCTTCTGCTGTAAAGTTGGGCATTTTAACATGGGGGTCTATGGAAATTGCTCCTTTCTGCAGCCATCGCCTATCGGCCAATATATGAACTGCAGTGTGTGGCACTTCCGTATTGGCTTCCCGGTGTCAGTACCAGATATGTTCGGGCTACCAGATATGTTCGGGTGTATTTCCGTCGCATCCGTCTTCCGTCATATCCGTCATATACTCACCTCCCTCTGCTCCCAGCGCTCTGCTGCCACACACCGGCCGTCTGCGGAACTGCAGCCGGAGGAACTCGGGACAGCTTGTTATGTGTGGGGTGCTATGGTGTGGTCCCATGTACTTGTGCACATAAATAATGTTTCTAATTATTTACAATTAAAAAATATATATATTCTGCGTTACTTTAGCCAACACTTTTATCAGGCCACTAGATTAGATAATTACGAAATGTGTAGATAGAATACATATATTTCAGGTTGTTATTTTGTCATTATGTTTAATGTTTTATTTACCTTTTAGTATTTGTATATAGTATCTGAACTTTGGAGAGGAGTTGGGAGACACACGACACATCAAATCACATCTACAGATCAAGGCGAAGCGAATGGAAGTACTCCCATACTCCTAGCGTAAAAATGTTTGTGAAAACGTGTGCAAAGTCTCCGAAAATCCTAAAAATAAGCCCATATTTGAATTCATCATAAAAAAACACATAATTCAGTAAAAACAAGGCCCCACTGATCATCTACTCTCTGAGACGATTCCAGGGATGTCTGGCTTGAGTTTCGACCACCAGGGAAAGTGGACAAAAGTGCCCGAGATCAGCCTCTTAATTTACCCAGGGCTTAGTGCTTGGCTTTGGGCATGACAATTCAGGAAACTCCCCTGAGTATTTTATTATATATCTGAACTTTGGAGAGGAGTTGGGGGACACACGACACATCAAATCACATCTACAGATCAAGACGAAGCTAGTGGAAGTACTCCTAGCGTGTGAAAATGTTTGTGAAAAACGTGTGCAAAGTCTCCGAAAACGGAGCAGTGGCTGTGAAGCTAGCTTTGCGGCTAGCGGTTAGTTGTTATTGTTTGAAGTTGTTGCTATGGAAACAACATGACGGAGAAAAAATTAATATCTTCTACATATAATAACGGACAAAGTAAAGAATGAAGTGTAGGCTATGCCTGTTTGAAGTTGTTGCTAAGGAAACAACATGACGGAGAAAAAGTATAATCTTCTACATATAATAACGGACAAAGTAAAGAATGAAGTGTCGGCTATGTTTAAATGTTCGGAATTTGACCGTGATGGCCCTCTTGAGTTGCCGTAAAATATGACGAATATGACGGATGACGGATGCGACGGAAATACACCCGAACATATCTGGTACTGACACCGGCTCTACCCCACAGTTTGCCGCTTGGGTGTGAACGCGATAAAAGAATTCACATGAACCTTTGTGGGAAAAGTACCTCAGTGTGAATGCGCCTCATGGATTGATAATCTCACTCCACAGGTGTGCAACCGTTTTTCGGGCATGGAGGAAACAACGTCATACAAATGTGAGTTCCATGTGGTTATTTTTTTAAACGATAAATAATACGTTGCCTTAACTAAAACATGCCTTTGTGAACATGTATTTATGAATCTACACGTGTTAATTTGATTTGCCAAGATTACATTAGATTTTTATTTTGAAGATGTACAAATCTAAATCGGAATCAAACTAACAACACATGTGTCAATTCATGTATCCATTCACTTACGAAATCGGTTTAAACTTAAGTGTGATTTGTAATTTCAGGGACTGTGGTAAAAACCAAGGCACTTATTGCTTTAAGAATGGAAAAGGATGACCTGTTCTGCAAAAAACGCAATGCTGCCAAAGAAGCATGGGAGTGAGTTATGCACTCAATTTATATTTTGTGCAATGAAAGTAATGAATGTGCACTGTGGGTCATTGCCTTAACACCAATATATATTGGTTAAATATGCTATGATAACAGGTCAATCATTAAGGAACTGGACCTTGGGCAACATGTGTCTCACAAACAGGCCTCCAAGAAATGGGAGAACCTAAAAAAGAAATACAAGGTAAATGGTGTATTGTTATTGTAAAACGTGTTTGTTTTTCAAAAAGCTGAACAAAGATTTCTAACATGCATTTGTTTGCAATAGGAACTTAAAAGGCCAAGGACTGGAACAGGGACTGATCAGGGGGAAGAAACCCCTGCAACATGGCCCTTCTTCATGGCCATGGATGAGGCCATAGGTGCAAGGCCTTCAATTAGTCCTCCTGTCCTTGTTGCCTCAGCCTTGGCAAACCCCACAATCCTCTTTGATCAGGAGGCTGCTTCCTGCTCCTCTTCCTTCCCCCCCCAAATGTGGCTGATGATCCAGACCCCTCACCACCCTCATCACTGTCTGAGGCTGGAACCACCCAGCAGCCCCCCCCCCCCAAAAAAGAAAAGGTGCTATGGGAGTGCTGGAGTGCCTAGAACGCGAGGCAGAAAAAGAGGAAGAACGCCACAGAGAAATAATGCAGCACTCAGATACATTTCTAACCCTGTTCGAAAAAATATGATTAATTTTTTTCCCCCACCATTGGCCATTTATATGTTGATTATTGATGTTACTTAAAAGACTTGTTTTTGTTTGCTTGTATTATTTATTTGGATAAACCTAATTTAACGTACTGTCCTTCATGTCTTCAATATTGTATGGGATATAGTAAATACAGGTAGACGGGTGATGAAGGTGACATTGCGTTTGCTTGATTGTTAGATGGCTACATTGTTCTGTGTGGGTTTCATAATGTAGAAGGAAACGTTTTGCACAAAGTAATGTTGTGCACGGAACTAAAGTGTTTTTTCCAAAGTCTGAAGATTAACCCTGAATATCAGCATTTTAAATAAAGATATGTCTGTGCGCTTCATAGGTATAAGCAGGGCCGTTTCTTCCTATAGGCGGACTAAGCTAGAAACGGCCCTGGGTATAAGGCATTAACATATACATGCCATTTATGGTCTTAATTGCTCATGTCAAACCATTTGCAGAGTTTCACTCAAAAACAAAAGTGATTGTATTAGAAGACCTGTGTTCATTTTCTGAACCTTTGCTCTGTGCTCGTGATTGAATGATCCAAGAGGTAAGGACATTTGTCTCCAATTTGGGATTATGCAGAAAGACAATTCAGGAAAACCAAGTTTGAAATCAACGGTGCACAGGTTTATTTTATTTCACCTCTTTTCTCTAAAGTGAGAAGTGGAGCTCACTAAAACAAACAAAATTAAATCAGGTATGTGTGCACATCATTTCAAAAACACAAGTTAACAGACAACCACGTTTTTCCAAAAAAAAAACAAAGTTCATTAGATGTAATCGTGCTCTCTCAGGTGTGGTGCCATTTGGACAGGAGCAGAGAGTTGTGCAGCAATCCTGTTCCTTAGGTGGTGTCCAGGACTTTCCTGTCCACATGCTGCGGCAGGGGGAGGACTCTGGTCCCCATCTTCAGGGGGGGAAGGCTTCAGCATCCTCAAGGACATCGTTCATGTCTATGCACAGATTGTGCAGAAATGCACAACATGCAATGATGTCAGGGGCAAAGCTTGGACTGACCTCCAGCGCTTTGAAAAGGGTGGCCCTCCAGCGAGCCTTCATCCTTCCAAATGCTCTTTCCACCACAGACCGAGCCCTGGCATGATGCCTGTTGAATCTGGCCTGCACCTGGCCGCGAGGGACCTTGTAGGGTGTGAGTAATCCCACTGGTTTTTCCAGGCAGGGATAACCACCGTCCCCAAGGAGGAACCAACCAGCTGGGGGAAACAGTGCCTGGCAGAAGATGGGGCTGTTTCGCAGTACTCTGGCATCATGAACGGAGCCTGGATAGCCAATGAAGACATCCAGGAATCTCCCAGTTGAGTCACAGATGGCCTGCATCTGGATGGAAGGAAACAGCTTGTAATTGATGTACTCCTTGTGGTACTCGTTTCCTGGAGGTTTGATGCGAATATGGCATCCATCAATCGCACCAGCAGCACGGTGAAATGCAGGACTCTTTGCAAGCTGACAGAAGCCATCTGCAATCTCTGGCAGCTCATCTGCGGTTGGCAGGGAAATGAGGGTCTTCAGGTTGGCCTTTATCTTCCCGGTGACGTGTTTGACGATCCTGTGGACCGTCGATTTGGAAATCCCGAATGCTGAACCCACCACAGAGAGTGATAGTCCATGGGCCAAGCTGTAGAGGAGAACAAGCACCTCGATGTCTTGTCCCCATCCGTGGTCCTTTGGGGAAGAAAGCATCTGCACTAAATACACCACACTAGATCGCTTAACTCTAAAGTCCTTCTTTTGACAGGCTTCAGGGTTGGCATACACGGCGAGAATTGGGGCAGTAGCATTGAGCTGCATGTAAAGACCTTTGCCCCCCTGTAAAAGACAAACGCAGGACACAGTATTGTTCAATAACTATACTCCAACACACACACACACACACACACACACACACACACACACACACACAGCTCTGTAAACAATTCTGAGACCAAGTCAAATTAACCTTTCCTTTTTTATTCTATAAATTACTGACAACATTTCTCTGTGTTGGAATTCTACAGACACTATACAGATATACACGTATAGCTTATAAGGAAAGAATAAATGAATGTATATCACAATATATCTAAATATATATTTGTATTACACATACAAAGTTCATAGGCTACTATATAAGAAATAAAGTGAAGATAATTGTTGTATTAGCAACTGGCACATCGCTAAAATGCGCCTCAACCTTCTGCGCCTTCTGTTGGATCTTGCCATTGCACCCGCTAACAGGCGACGGATAGCAACGCAGGTCAATGCAGCCGACAGATGTGGGTTGGACACCATGACGTCCGTTTCCGTTTCCTGCGGAGAGAGGGGAGGCCATCCCAAAGCTTGCCGCTGTATTTATACCCTTAACCCTTAATGGAGGGAACTTCATTCAGCTGTGAGTGTGCCTAAAGACGGAGTTAACTCCGTCACGGAGGGGGAGGGTCGAGGGAGTGGTTTGGGATTGGGCCTCAGTCAGTAACCTCAGTCCCTTTTAGAGTTTTCACTAAATGACATTAAACAGGCTGCTCAGGAACAGAAACTGTAATTGCAGTTTAAAGTCTGATTTGGAAATATAGTTTCTGTTATAAGTTTGTAAGCTGTATTTACATTTTTCATCTTCATATTCTCCCCCTACAACATGCACCTAATCATCTTGGGTTATTATAATACTTCATGTTCTTTGTCCTTCACCTCATTCTTTACCAATTTAGTCCATGCTTTACTTTCTGACAATATTTACTTATTCCATTGTTACAATTAAAATGCTGGAGAACAATTTATACACTTTGAACATAGTAAGTCTTAGAGAAACTCACATTTCCCTGTGCGTCTTTTTCCTGTTGGTCCACTTTTCTTTTCTTCACCTTTGTGGCAGGTGGGCTCTTGGGGTTGGGTAGTGTTTTTGGTGGATTGAAGTACTTGGATTTGGACTTGGTGTGACCAGCAGAACTTTCCCGCTTGTTCCACTGTTCCTCGTGGTCATCATCTGGCCTGCTAGGATGTCCAAAGTTTTTTCTCCAGAATATGCATTGGCAGATTGTGTTGCTCAATGTGCTCTATATATCTTCCTTGTATTGAGGCATACATTTTGGAGACGAACTCAGCTGGTCTCAGGTACTTTTTTTTTAAAAGGATGGAGTGTTTGACCAACCCAAACCAGAGCTCAACATGGCAGTTGGTATCCCTGGTTTTATGACTTCCATCTTTTTTAGAGGTACCTTTTCTATGTCGCGACAGATCCCCAAGCAACAAACCACTCCACAATGGGAAGATCCCCATGTAGTTTTTTAACAGTGCATCAATGACACCAGGACAGAGGTAGTGTTTTTTTACATGAACAGCATCGTCAGAGAGAATGTCACACTCTGCTTGGTCCCGCCTGACTTGAAAAGCTTGTGTAAAAGGGGACTTTCCAATAATGCTATGAGCATTTGTTTCCATTTTGCTTTCCTCCTGTCACGATCTGCCTGTATTGTATTTTGTCTTGTCTTGTTTCATGTTTTATTTTGAAAGGTCTTCACCTCCTGTCTTGCCTGTTTCTGTCTGCGTTGTGTCTTGTTTAAATCTGTCTGTGGTTCCCGGTCGTTAGTTTCCCTGGTGTGTCTAATTTACCCGATTGTGTTCACCTGGTGTCCCTGTGTTTTCTCCTCCCTCCTCACCTGTGTCTTGTTTCTGTGATTAGTCTTGTGTGTATTTAAGTTCTGGTTTTTCTGTCTGTCTTTGTCGGTTCGTCTTTTGTCATGACTAGTTCGTCGGTGAGTGTTTTGTCTTTATTTATCATCTAGCCTTGAAATAAAGGAATTTTCACTTTAATCTGCATTTGGGTCCTGCCTGCTTCACACACCGTAACACCTCCTCTCCCATTACATGTCCACTTTCCTCCAGTTTCAAGTCCCGAGTTTGCAAAATGCACTCGTCGAGGTACATTTTGCTCTGTTTCACCGAATGAGTGTACTCCTCTGCATCAAAAAGCACACACATATGATAAAAAACATCAAGGGCTTCCTGCATACTTGTGCAGTTCAGGATGTACGCAAAACAGAATGTTGCATATTCCTGTGTGCCTGTCTACAGTTTTTTTTCCAAATGCTTGTGACACAGCCTTCATGATATGAGCAGAGCACAGATGCATCACAGTGAAGTTAGGAATCAGTTCAGTTTGTCCAGACACTATCTCAAATGCTCTGTCAAGGTACACTGACATATTTTCCCTGTTAAAAGACAGAAGCACACTGTTTATCAGAGCCCAACTATAATCTGTCTCAACCTGTGCTATCTTTCTTTTTGTTATGTAAGACAACTTTCTTTTAAATTCCATGAGCCAATGGGAAATAGATGGAATGGAATGGCTGTTGGTGATCAGTTCTGTGACAGGCAAGGGAGGCTTATCCTTACCCATTCCGGGCAAAACCAAAGCATAATTCAAGAACCGCTTATTTTGATCAGGAATTTTCTGTATCACGCTGCCTGTGGCATCAAGGTAGAGAGTCGTAGGTGTTGGCTTTTTCAAGTGCTCAGTCAATATCTTTATTCAAGCATCTGTGTATAAATGTACAGCAAACGGATCAATTTGTAGGTGCTGAAGATAGCTTTTTGATGATGCATGACTGCTGCTCTCTTTGATTATTTTTTGAGTCAACATGAGTTCAAGCATCATGTCATCGTGGAGCCTTGCACTTTTCTTCACTTCAGAGGATATTTTCTTTAACACGTCTTTGGTGAGGCTTCTGCTTATGTTACCAGCCATTATTTCCTCTGGTGTCTGTCTTAACATAGTGTAATAATAATTGCTGAACCTACTGGTTAAGGCTTTGGAAATTGTTCCTCTTCTTGTGTATTTTCCTAACCCTAACCTTAACCCAACATTGATTTTGAGTGATTAGGTCACATGACCTGGAAGGTATTGAAGAAATAAGCTCATTTTTCCATCAAAATATTAATATAAAAATATTTAAAGTATTAAAATGCAATAAAAATAGATGTGTCCTATGCAGCCAGTGTAGTTCTTTGACCCTACATTGATTTTGAGTGAATCGGTCACATGA